ATTGATTAAAAGTTAAGTTTTTTCATGTAAATTAATATTGTGTTTAGTTTGTAATTTAAAAGCCTGTAGAATTAATATATGTAATAAGTTATGAGGAAATTTACGTATTATTTTATATAGAATAAAAGATGAAATAACTACATATTACAATTTACATTACACAATTAAAGCCAACATGACTAATTAATACTTGTCACAAATCCAGAAAAACCATCAAGATTTCTATATGAATTATATGTCGTTCATAAGTACTAAATTTTTAATGAATCAACTATAGATCATCTGAAATTTTCTTTAGCATAATCAAAAATAACATTTACGTGATAAAGATGGATCAAGAGATCATAATCATAATTCATGATTCAATCATAACATAAAATCATCAAATTATTATCAAGGGATGAGAACACCAATGATTTTTCTTTCATTTTAAATAGTATAGCTGAGGGAAAATAATAATTAAAAAAAAAGTAATTAGAGTGGACTAATTACAAAAGTGGGTTTTCTTGTTTTTACTTTGCTGTAAAGTTTTCAATCTCCAAGATAACATCTTGATTAAAGCATAATGGTGCAATAAACAAGGCTGTTTCTCAAAATTAGCAAATAAGAGTACACATTAATTAATCATGTCATTAATTTGTCTAACTAGTGCTACATGACTTGTTTTCCTCTCTCAAATTAAGCCCATACCATTAATTCTATGTATTGCTATATAATATAAAACAAACTAATTACTTGTTCATTAACTTATTCATTAGTGGAGTTGTTGTTAATTGTTGTGTTGCCATGTTAACTTCCCATAATCTGAATTTCCTCGTACATGTCTTGTCTTTGTTTAATTACTTCTGAAAAATGAAACTAAGCAAGTTACGCAGATGGATGATTTTCATTTTAGATAAAATTAAACGGTCAAAAATACATTTAAAGTATCTTAAAAAAAAATAAAAAAATTCATAGTTGAACTATCAAATAACAAATATGCGAATTTTTTACTTGAACTATTATTTATCAGAAAGTCAAAACACACCAAAGATCCCAAAGATATAAAGATACAAGAATCAAAAGACAAATAAATAAATTGCAAGGTAGCTCATAATTCAAGAAGAGCTCCTTTAGTTTAGGGTTTATTAAGCTCTCAACACAAGGAGATAGAGAAAATTTTGTATTCAATATATATGGGGGAACAAAGTCCATGTTCTCTTATCTTACTCTTTTTTCTTTTTTTTTCATATTTCTTTGTCTCTCTACATGTTAATTAAAATAATTTAAAATCTATGATAGCTAATTAATAAGTTTTTACATAATTAATATAATTTAATTTGTTGTAATATGTTTGTCTTATCTTTTTCAGGTTATTAATCTCACTTATTATTGTAAATAGTTTTAGTTATATTTTCAATGATCTTTATTGTAACAGTGTAAAGATTCTACATTGCAAGTATATAAAAAAGTTAAACCTTATAGTATAAATTATAATTAAGCTCAGAGACAAAATGTTGTGTGTATGTACCCAAGGAATAATTAATTAATATATTTTCCATTTTCTCTGATCTCTTGTGATTCTCCTTAAATACACTATATCATTAATTCCATACTATAGTTCCCTTCTTTCTCCAATCAAAACTTAGATATTCATGTCCATTGGTCAAGTGTTTGAGTCTTTGGACAACGTCGGATTCAGAATTTGAAGTTTTTGAATTTCTACGACAATCTTGAGAGAATAATTGTTTATGTGATTATGGTAAGGTTTGGTTCCATTTCTTTCATCTTCTATGTGATTATATTGAATTATTCCTTAAACAAAACAATACTTTTGCTCCCTAAGTTTCTTTATTGATTAGTATATCAACATCTACTAATTGATTATATTTTTGTGTATAGGGAATTCAAAAGCCATCATGGTTGAAAGCTCTTTATGTGGAGAAATTCTTTGTGCCATGTTCAATTCATGAAAGTGCAAAGAAGAATGAGAAGAATGTTTGTTGTTTGGATTGTAATATTAGTATTTGTCCTCATTGTGTCACTTCTCATCGTGTCCATAGATTGCTTCAAATTAGACGTTATGTATATCATGAGGTTGTTCGATTAGAAGATATAGAGAACCTTATTGATTGCTCCAATATTCAGGTACGTTATTCATTTAAAAGATAAATACTATTAGAAAATCGCTAATCTATGATGGAAATTTGGCTTGTTGGTAACGTTTCCGATGACTTTTCCATTCTCTGATGAGCCAAATTCTGAAAGGACGTCCATTGAAAATTAGCGATTTTCTATTAGTAAATTGCTTTATTTATTGTACTTTTGCCAACAATATAATGTTCTTGATTGTTGGCTTTTCTATTAATAAGAATAAAAATAATGTTGTTTAATTATTTATAATTTTGCTAGGCATATACAATAAACAATGCTAAAGTGGTTTTTATCAAGAAGAGGCCTCAAAATAGGCAATTCAAAGGAGGAAACTATTGCACTTCTTGTGATAGGAGTCTTCAAGAACCATTTATTCATTGCTCTCTTGGATGCAAGGTAATTTTCTTTAATTTAAAGAATTTTTGTGTTTTGGGATTCAAACTAGGGGTCGTTTGGTAGCTGGTCAGAGTTATGCAGGTATAATTAGTAATGTAGGAACTAGTTATGAGTGAATCTATGTAATATTTTATGTATTAGTTATGCATAAATTAATTATTCCATCTTCTATTTCTTGCATAAAATAATACATAGATTCTCTCATAACTTATAAATGTATTAGTTATAATTGTTCGGGTTTCTAAATTATCAACCAAACATCGTATTAATTTTATACGTGAATAACATATTTCCTATTTACCTACCAATTACCAAACACCATTTAAGTTATACAAAAATTAATACATAGATAATTTGTTTCTCTTCCAGCAACCAAACGACCCCTTAAGTACTCATATCTACTTAATTTATCATATTCTTATCATAGTTGATTCCTACTAATAAATATGATCAAAATTTATATGTGCAATCTCAAACTATATGCATAATTACACTTTACTTGATTTCCTCCAAACATCAGGTATGATTAAGTTTGTGTTTACATCAATTATAATTTAAGTCATTTTTCCATGGAAAATTTGAAAGGAAAAAAAATTGGTGTTCGGGTTGATGAATGAAAAAAAAAAATACTGTACATTTAAGTTTGACCGCAAGTTTAATATATGAAAATTTTGGGTTGTAAAGTTTAATAAAATGGAATCATTTTCGCAATTTTGATCACAAGCTAACCAAAAAACCAGAAAATGACTTTCTTATGAAAGTATTTTCCTAAAAAATGACTTTCTTATGAAAGTATTTTCCTAAAAAATGACTTTCGTTAAATCGATCACGTTGAGAATAATTTTGTTTGTCATTATCAGGTAGATTTTGTGCTAAAGCACCACAAGGACCTTTCCCCATTTCTAAGAAGATGCACAATTCTACAACTTAGTTCTGACTTCTTTATCCCTCAAGATATGGGCGACGATGACATGGCCATCGACACAGCCCATTCAACGATCGTGGACAATGACGAGCCATGGAGCTCGTCATCGTCCACGGGTTCGGGATCAGAGAACATGAGTTTTCCATGCACTGAATTTGTAAGGAAGAAGAGAAGTGGAATGCATGTTTGTGGAAGATCAGCTAATAATTGTAACAACATTACAGAAGAAGATATGGCTACTAGTATAAGTAGAAGAAAAGGCATTCCTCAAAGATCTCCATTATGTTAGAATATTAATTAGTCGTTTTTTCAACCTTAATTTGGTTTAACAATTCAATGTTTTAGAATAATGAAAAAGACACTTATTAATTTTATTCTAAAAGGGTTTGAATTTTGGTGTTAGTTAATTAATTACTTGGTTGGTTGGGGTGTTTTGTCTTAATTGCACCACGTGATATTCCCTCTTCGTATTTCATTCTTTTACTTGTTTGGTAATTTCAAAATTCCAACATCATATAATATAATAGTTGGAATTGTCAATTTGGAATCTTGAATTGTTTTATTCAATGATTTCTATGCGTACGAATTTCTACAGTCACGTAAATCAATTTTTACAATCCGTTACAAATGTTCTTTCAAGTTATATATATATATGACTCTTTTCATTGAAGATCGATAAAGGAACATGGTTCATTTATCTAATAATTATACTTTGGGATGCCATTGAACTCATTGACTGTTGTGAGTTATTGTTATTAAATTTCTTAACACATATACAAGGTTTGAGTCAAAGTTATTGGGTTAGGCCGAACCAGTAGCGCTAATACTATACATACACCTACTAGAAAGTGTAATGCACAATACTCATATACTCACTATATAGTTGTTAGGATTTGGTGTATGGTACAAACAAGTTGATGTGTTTGTATTTAGCTTTACCGTCTTTGTAAGTGAATATTTTGTGGAATTTCAGTTGCTCATGAACTTAATCTTTGCAACAACTATTACCACGATAATCGACTATATTGAATCTTTATTATCTTGCCATCTCCAGCACAGAGTTCGTTTGGATAGTCAACACAACAATTACATCTTAGTTTCAAGGTAATTGGAATTTGGAATCAACAATATAAATCTTTGAATATCTAGCTATATTTTCCTTCGTTTATACCCCGTTTCACTAATTTGAGGATTCTCTAGCACTCAAACAAAGTCTAGGTATCAAATATCACGTATACATGGACTCGTAGGAATCCATGGCACAACAAACATTATACGTGTATCATGTATACATGGACTCGTAGGAATCCATGGCACAACAAACATTATACGTATATCATGTATACATGGACTCGTAGGAATCCATGGCACAACAAACATTATATGTATATCACGTATACATGGACTCGTAGGAATTCATGGCACAACAAACATTATATGTTTCAGTAAGATACGAAGACAACAGTCTGAGAACTATCAATTTTATTGATGCATCGTAAACTATTACTAATATAACTAGTGAGGATAACTTCCTGAATCCTGTTTGTGTTAGGAGCTAAGAGTAATGAAGTTTCTGAGTTGGGAATAATGCCATTTGCAGATGTACTATAGTCTATCCAAGAATACCTGCATTGCATGGTGGCAATCCTCGACGCCAGTCCATAATAACCAGAGTTGCTATGCTATGTGAGAGGGCAGCTGCAACGACGAGTACATGGAAGATTTGATGGCTCTGTCCAACAAGGTCAAATGTACCAGGTTTCCATCTCTCTGGAAACCTTGTAACGTAGAACACTGCTCCAGCAGCATATAAAAGGCCCATGGTGATCTCATAGACTAGAGCCACGAGTACTTGTGGGTGATGAAAGTAGAGGGAAACAGCATGTGCTGCAGGAATCACACCTGAGAAACCCATAGCAAGGAACAGAACAGCCCTGAATGATCTAAATGTACCAGAGGTGAGAGCCGAGGCGAAAAGAGTGATAATGACAAGGATACCGACTATAGTAATGGAGGATAGGTAAAGGAGACACCAGTGTGGCTGACAACAGAAAGTGTAATATACGGGAGCGAAGAATGAACAGATGATCATGATCGAAATCCCAGAGTAATCGAGACGCCAGAAGAAGAGGGTAAATTTATGGGAGTGGCAAGCAAATAGGTGAGAGACAGAGCTGAAGACCAAACAGATCATAGCTCCTCCTAAGAAAACAAACCAAGGCCATATGGCAACTTCATAACCATCTCCATATGCACCTAGAAATGAGGGGTCTGAGATCTGACTAGTGTAAGAATCCTGCAAAACAGTAATTAAATTTTACGATGAGATGATGCTTAGTTTTTTACCGCTTAACATTCGCATGACAGAAACAATTTTTTTCCCAAAATATGATAGAGGTTAAGATGCATCACTTCTTTCCACTCAATAATGTTAGTTATACTGGAACCCCTCCTTCGAGGGCCGCACCTAGATATATAGTAAAAGGTTACCATTTTGCAACTGTAGAAGCTAAGTAATGTCACAAAGCTGGCCTGGAGCCTGGAGGTAGTGGCAAGTAGGACGTCATCAATGCTTTTACAACAAAATCTTAGAAGATAGGCAGTATTAATACGTTTGGCAATAAACTCAATTATTTTCAGTAGGAACCACCTTTTGTGGTCTCCGAAAAAAAGTCTTTGTGACTTCACCATTACTGGTCTAGCATTTTGGATTTATGGAGCAGCCAAGAAAGTTATAGTCCATTCAAGTTCATGAAACTTTTTGACAACGAAAGATATCATGAATGGTATCTGACTGCCCAGGATCTCTCAACTGAAATTAAGACCACTTTTTAACTACTCATCAACATCAAGAATTGAGAGAGCTTGATAAGACACTACATTTGATCTGATATTCAACTCAGGTGTTCCAACTTAAAGTGTAACAATACAAACAACCAGCCTGGTTGTAACCACAGATTTCTTATTGCAAACAACTCTTTTATCTTTCCTTTGAATTTTAATCATTCTACTTTTAAGACAGTCTGCATAGTTCATATCTATACTTCAACAAAATGGTTGACCTCCTCTATCTTTAAATTTGCTACTAATAACATCAATACAGACATATATATCACCCCAAATTCCTGATTATGATAAAATTCCAAGTAATTTGTATAGCAGTTAGGTTGGATGAATTGCAGATACAGCAATACCAAGGATAATGCCATGACGAAGTGGCCTTATTATTAGTGAAACATATAGTCAAAGAATTTTATGGCACTTGGAATGCTTTGTAACTGTGTTGAGTTGACACGTTTGGTCACCCTCAAAATTTTTACCTACCTATCAGGTAAAAAACATTTGGCTTTGGAAATGGAGTTAAGGTATTTATATATATGTCTCTACATTGTCAGTGTCACCATTTCCAAAAATCTGACTTTGCTAACTCTTTCGTCAAATTTAATAACTATATCCATATGGACCCCTAAGAAGTTTTTGATTGTGACAATGACATTATTGGAGTGATCAAGCAAATTTTATTGGGGTTAATTAGTTCGCAGGGTGATATAAGCATGATCTAATGGATATCCCACGGGTAGCTGGGATATCTCAAGGTTTTATATTTTCTCACATTCTACATGGGATTACTATCCAATCATTTTCGTATAAAGAGTGGGATTAAAAATTTTGTGATTAGCTAATACCTCAAATTAAACATAAAACAAAATTACATCTCAAATTTTATCGTGAAAATAGGGAAAAGGGTCTGATATATCCCTCAACTTTGTCATTTGGAGCTGATATACCCCTCGTTATGAAAGTGGCTCATATATACCCTTGCCGTTATACAAACGGCTCACATATAGCCCTACCGTTACAAAATGAGTTCACATATACCCTTCATTTAACGGGAGTGAAAAAATTAGTTTTAAATTTATATATTTAACCTTTAATTTTTTTAAAATCATTTAGGGGTATATATGATCCTTCTAGCAAAGTTCAAGGTATATTTTAATCTTTTTCATACATAAATTATTTTTTTGACTTCTTTGATTATCATTATTTGAGTTTCTTATTCTTATTTTATTTTTTCTTTTATTCCTTAATATAAGAAAAAAATTTAAAACAATTTTTTTTGCTATATTATAATTTAAAACTATTTTTCGGCTATATTATAATTTAGTTTTTGTATTTGGAAAAAAAAATTGGGTCATCTATAATAAATTTTACAAGAATATTAGTGAAACATAAATAAATTTGACTATCAAAATAATAAATCTAAATTAGTCATTGAAACAAAAAAAAAAGTCAAAAAAATATATGTTTGAGGAGGATTAAGTCCATATGGGATTATATTTTGTTTTAAAATATTATTAAGAAATTAAACTAAGATTAATTTTTTCACTTCCGTTAGAGAAAAGGGTATATGTGAGCTATTTCTATACCAGTAAGAGTATCTATGAGCCACTTTCATAACGAGGGCTATATCAGTTCTAAATGACAAAATTGAGAGGTATATTAAGCCCTTTTCCCATAAAAATATTATACTAATTATCCACGTATCAAACGACCCTTAGACCCAAAAGCTTACATATCTTTTTCTCCTGTCCATTGTGGAGTATTTTTTATGTCAAATCTTCTAACAATCATTATTTTTTACGAAAAAAAGAGCTAAAGCTGATGTCCAAATAGTAAAAGGCTATGTTGAATCACTTTGTATTGTTATTGTCAAACAACAACAATAACATATTAATGAAATCTTACGAATATGCAATATAGACCCTTACTCTTACCTTATAAAGATATAAGAATTGTTTTCGATAAATCCTCAGCTTAAGATATTATCAATGTCACTAATTAATAAAATAAACAGACTCAATCTTAAAAGATTAGAAATACATATAAGTAAATAACAAATTCAAAATTTGCACAGTTGAGATACAGCTAAAATACTTAAATTCATCACATCAAAAATCTTAACACGAAAAAATATATATTCGAATTCTTATAAGATAAAAAAGAGCTAGTTAAGAGGACCCGTGAAAACGGTGAAATAGCAAGATTCATTGCACAGCTCAGCTATATTTCTAAAGTATTCCAAAAGTAGGATCCACTAAAAGCCCATACTTTTCGAAAAGTGGTGTCATCTCATGTCTTTTACCGTCTTTATCTAAGCTAAAAAAAAAAAAATGTACTGAATTTTTAACAAAACACGTAACGAACGGTTTAAGTAAAGTAAGGTCTAGTAAGATATACTTATTATGTTGAGGATTTTATTATTATTAATAAAAGGCCGCTAAAACACTCGGTGTAAATGGTATAAATTAATTTGTTTAAAACGATAACTCACCGGAAAAGAATCAGCTGAGCCATTGCTCTTCATGGTCGGCCACCGTCCCACACCCGCCGGTCTGTTTTTAGAATAGTACGTGTATCTCTTTAACCAATGTGTGAAATGACAAAAAAGGACATAAAATATCATTGAAATTACGAAACGAACCTGGAGAAACCAGCAAGCAGAGTCTCCATTGCCGTCTTCTTCATCAAGCTCGTTACCGTCAACGTCACAAACACCACAAAACCTACCAAATGCCTACGAAATTTTATAGCATATGATTAATATAACTTGAAAATCAGCTAAATTCAAATGAGTGAAATTGAATTCTCGCATTGTGCGAAAAGTTTCTCCAAATTGTAAAATCAGAGCTAAAAAAACTCAAAAATTGATTTGATTCAAATGCAAAGGAGTGAAACTAAGAGTCAAGTTGTGAAAATAGAGATTCTCTGAGTTTGAAATTAGTAAAATAAGAACTAAAAAAGCTCGAAAATCATCTAAATTCAAATGCAAATGAGTGAAATTAAGAGTCTAATTGTGCAAATGGAGGATCCTACAAATTTGAAGTTAGTAAAACAAGAGCTAAAAAAACTGGAAAACCAACGAAATTCAAATGCAAATGAGTGAAATTGAGAGTATCGTTGTGCAAATGGAAGATAAGATCCTACAAATTTGAAATTCGTACAATGAGAGCTAAAAAACACTTGAAAATCAACGCAATTCATATGCAAAATGAAGTGAAAATTGGAATTTCGAACTTACGTCCAAATATTGAGAGTCTCATTATGCCAAGAGAAGACGCTAAGAGCTACCTCCTTAAGAGGCCATTCACAACGATAATAGTCTCTGATGAACTCATTATCTTGAAGATACACCGGTAATTCCTCGAATTTCATCAATCTACGCTTCAACTTCTTCTCCTCCTCCTTATAACTATTCATCTTCTTCTCCTTCAATATTCCCGATTCAGTAATATCTGTTTTTCTGATTTTCGAGCTCTTCTTAGTTCCTTTGTTCGTCATGCTTTTCATAGCCGCTTCCGGCAAGGAATCTCAGATTCCGGCGACTTTTCACCGGAAATTTCCGATTGTTTGTTTGTGTCTCGTGAACAACGAACTAATAAAAAAGGCGTGACTTCCACTCAACTTTTTGTTACTTATATATAGATTAGTAGGAGACGGTTGGAAAAATAGTTGAACAAATATTTACTTTTTTAGGCCTTGAGAAATTAATGGTTTCCAATTCACTGGATCTTACCTCTTGAAAGTAGTCAATAACAAACAACAACGTACCCAGTGAAATCCCACTAGGTGGGGTCTGGGGAGGGTAGAGTGTACGCAGATCTTGTCACTACCTCGTGGAGGTAGAGAAGCTGTTTCCGAGAGACCCTCAGCTCAAGTACATCAAATCCAAGTACAAGGAGAGGAAAACAGTGTATAAAACATAACATACAATAAGGAAGAAAGTAAATAGTCAACAAAGGAGACAATAACATCAATAAAAAATGTGAGAAGTGAAACGCAATACACAACATAAGGCTGTAGGTATCACAAACAAGAACTGCAAGTGCAAGGTTAGGACTACTACAAACGCTAACAACCCATACCCTCGCAAGGAAAGACAACACGCTAACCCTACTAACCTTCAACCTTAATACGCGACCTCCACTCCTTCCTATCTAGAGTCATGTCTTCGGTAATGTGAAGCTGAGCCAAGTCCTGTCTAATCACCTCTCCCCAATACTTCTTAGGCTTACCTCTACCCCTCCGCATACCCTCTACAACTAGCCCCTTAAACTAATATTTAGTCCTTGTTTAGAGTATATCCCGAAAAAAGAGATTCATGTCACAAGAAATGTTTTGTCAATCAGGCATGATTATCACGTCGCAGTTTGAGAAATAGTATCTCCGAGACCTTCACTTTAGGTTATTTTTCACGGTTGACATACATGATTCTACAAGAAAGCACAAGTAATAAAATTTAGCACATTTTATTAAATAAATAAATATATTTTTTGTTATTAGCTTTTCTTAGAAAAAAAAATGTTTAAAAGAACCAAAAAGGTACGACTAGGGTTGCTTCTCCTTTAACCAGATGTCTCGACTTCAAAGTATAATTTTGAATGTTCTAGTTACGTACCTATGAATACATTGGATATATAGGCGTAAAATTATGATGATTGATTGTATGTTAAAAAGTAGCGATGTAATCAAGAGCTTGATATTTGAAGAATCTATTTGTGATGAAAGTATGGAGCAAGTTGAAGTAACGTATATATATGTAGCAATATTTTTCTTTTTCTTTTTAAGAATTCATAAAATGATGTTGCAGAGTTTGGATTAATATATTTTCTGATAAGATGATGATTTAGGTTTTTATTTGGGAAACTTTCGCAAATAGCCACTATAGTAAACTTAATTATGCTCCATAACTATAGTTTGCATATTTACGACATGTAGCTATAGTTTAAGCTGCCTTGCTTGTATAATTTGCGGGTGAATTTGTATAGTTCGTGGGTATGTTTGTATAAACTCGAAATAACGAATTTATACAAACACAAACACCTGAACTTTAAACAGTTATACAAATTATATTATACAAAAGCTATACAAATTATATTATACAAATTCTGAATTATATAAACGTGCGAATTATACTAAACTAAAAGTGAGCCGTGTAATTATAGCTAAAAGTAGATCGCAAATTATAATTAAGACAAACTGTAGCTATGTTAACTAATTAATGAGTATATATTTACTTATCAACGTAATTTTCCCTTTTTATATTAATAGTGAAATTTTATATAAATATTGATTATTTGGTTTATTAATGGATGTGTCTACAATCGTTATTCTATTTAGTTAATTTTACATTAGTGAAGTGAAATGTGATCATTACAATTTACAACTCTTTCACGACATATTTCTCGAATAGTTAAATGGACATTAATGAAAGGAAATGTGGTCGTTAAGAGTAACATACAATTAACGAAGGAAATTTTGGCTCCTAAAAGTTCTTTTAACAACCAAATTAGCCGACGTTAGAAAATTCCTTTAATGACTAGATGACAAATTAGTGAAGGAAAAATCTGTCGCTAAAAAAGATGTACAACGACCGAAATTTATACTATCGCTAAAGGATCTTTAACGGCTTGATAACAATCAGTGACGATCAGATTTTTAAACGTCGTTATTCACTTATAACGACCAAATTTGTATTTTTAACGAACGAATTGCAATCCGGTCTTTATCTTTTAACAACAAGGCTTTTAACGGTCGTTATTGACTTATAACAATTTAATTTATATTTTTAACGACTACACTTTCCCTCATTAAAGACCTATTTTTTTGCCGTAATTTCAAATCGAGAGTCGGAGTCATGTCCCATGAAGAAATAAAAAAAAATAGAGTAATTATGAATTACTATATTGAGCTTGAGTGTAGGCTGTCCATAATTTAACCTTCTAAGGTAAAGAGGAAGTTTTTGCCCATTTTATTTTACCTTACCTTACCAATATTTAGAAATGACCGTTTGAAAAGGAGAAACAGTGGCAAATTTGTAATTTTCTTATTTCATTTGGGGTAATTTTGGAACTAAAGTGACTTTGCCTATGCATAATGTACTTTGTCGATGCATAATGTACTTTGTCGATGCATAATGTACTTTCGAACTAAAGTGACTTTGCTTATTTCTTATTTTCTTATTTCACTCGCTCATACTAATTTCTCTGGCTCAGGTCCAATTTGTCTTTGGTATTACTGTATTTGGAGTAACTGTAAGTTTTTCTTCTCCTTTTCCGATTTATTCTCTTCTTAAATTTGTCCACTTGTGTGATATGAACCTATAATGGTAGCTATTTTCATATATTTTTTATTTTTGTTTTTTGGTGTGCATATCAACAATTGTATCTAAGCTTGTGAATATTACTAAATGCCTATATGTTGGATTTTTGATGAGCATAGTGCATCTAGGTGGTTTAATTTCTCTAATGATAGTTGAGTTCACTTTCATTTTTTCAATAGTTTTAGTTCAGCTACTTTACTTGCTTTGGAGTTAAAATGTGAAGTAGAGGAAGGAGTTGAACATGCTGATAAAGTGTTTTGGTGAAAGTCCTGATCAAGCTTTGGCTTGATTTTGTGGGACCGAAATATTCGACAATAAATAGCGACATAGACGTTTGTTGAAAAAGAGAGGCAGGGCCCCAGGCACTTGCTAATGAGCATGCAGGACAAGACTGACTTGTAAAAACGCTCTACTTGAAAGGCAATGACTTTAAGGGTACTAACTGTGATACATGGGTAAGGAAAAAAAAAGAGTAGCTCAGGCTCTCGAGGCATATATACTAGCAGGGCTCGACTAGAATCGTAGAGAGAAGCTGGGGAGAAAGATCCAAAATGATAAGTATTCGGGCCTCTAAAGCAAGATTAAAGTTTCCTCTTGGATAAGAAGACCTAAAACACCAGTCAAGGGAAGAAGGTCAGGTGAAAACAAAAGAATGTATGTACATTCATTTTTGGAATAAATTAAAGGCATAATACATAACCATGACCCTTAACTTGGCTTCAATGGACAACTATGACTTCCAACTTTGAGTGTGCGCAAGTAGACACTTGAACTTGTATAAAATTGAAGAAGTAGACACATGTGTCCTACATGGCATAATACACGTAGGACGCCACATAGGACACAAAATATCCATGTAGGGTGCCATGTAGGATGAATGTGTCTATTTGTTCAATTTTATACAAGTTTAAGTGCCTACTTGTGCTTACCCAAAGTTGGAGGTCATAGTTGCTGGTTGACGCCAAGTTAAGGGTCATGTTTATGTATTATGCCTAAATTAAAATACACCATGACATTGTTGAGCTTGCAAGAAAGACAAACTGTTAGGTTTGATTTCAAGCCGCTATAATTGACAGTATGTGTTGTATCGGGACATTTGCTGAGTAAAAGCAGACCAAGTATGCTAAGTTAGGTAACAGTTACAAGTGACAACTAATACATTCAAATTGTAAGGCAATTGTCTAATATCCTAATCGCACCGGCTCTTTGGTAGAAATTCTATATAAATTGGAGGCTCAATCTGTCGCCTTCATTTCCGTGCAAATTATATGTGGTGCCTGTACAACTAAATGACTTTTTTGGATGTTCTTTATATAGGTCCTATGTTGGTATGTGTATGTGCAACATTTATGGTTGGTGTATTATATTTACTTGTATCTGTATTTTTCGCTCTTGCTATTATCCTCAAACTTTATGTTAAAAAGAAAAATTAGATAAATAAAGACACTGCAGGTTGAAAAGTGATACTCGATTTATGCTTTTAACGTTTCACATGTATTTTCTCCATTAACATTGGAATGTAATTTTTTTAAATGCCTTTTGATGGAGATGACTTATTTCAAGGTGATTATTTTGTTTTAGTTACATATCCTCCATCTCTTTAAGATCACCTATGGTAGTTATAGCTGTAAAACTTTATTAATGTATAGATATATGTAGTAGGAAGTTTTTCACAGTATTACTTATTTCCATAGCATACAATACATTTTTCCTTTTGTGCTTTTCTGTAGCATCATGTTCTTATAAATGACTTTTAGTGGTTCCACTCTATACATGTCCAAGGTACTTAATCACATGCGTGAAAATTACTAACAAAATTTTGTTGTCTTTATTTTTCAGCATGTTTACAAAAATCTTCTTCTCCATCAGTCAATAACTCAAAAGGTATGTTTTTACCGGACAACCTCAGCCTCTATCATTTATGTTTGTGTTCAAGAAGTATATTTCAAATGTATAATACACTTATCTTTCAGTAGTGAGGTGCTTTCTTACTTTTATTTTTTCTGGTGGAATTTTGTTTGGGTGAACGAGATCTTCTTAGAGTACTAAATGAAGGATATGCAAGGAAGGAACGAGTCGATTCCCCTTTTCGTCTTTTGGTAGCATAAAGAAAATAAATTCAAATTGACAAACCACCAAAAGAGTGAGAAAAGGGGGTGGGGGTGGGGGGTTAACTGTACATTAGGCCATATCTGTTTGATCTATTTTAATTTTGATGGTTAAATAGGCATAAGATGTGATTTTGATATTTTCTTTCTCACGTTCATAGGAGGGTTCAGGTATGTTGTCTTGAAATGAATGTTGCTTGGAGATGGTTAAATCTATGTCAAGAAAGCTGAAATGTCAACTCTATCTGCCCCATAGTAGTTTCCAGACATATGGCTGCTAAATGTTTTTTGTTCCTTTCTGCTTAGATACCAATTAAGCTAGAACCTAGTGCCTGATGGTACAACACACAAAGTACTGACATAGACATTTGCACTTCTTTTGATCCTGTCTTTCTTTTATCGGTAGTGTTGAACTACAACTCTTCATTTGAGAAGATCTTCATTTTTCCCTGCTTTTAGGATTCACACTCTATATGTAGTATTGATACTCGAGAAGTCAAGATCTCCTGAAGAGAAACTTGAAATCATCCGTTTAGTCATTCCTTTTTGTTTGGACAATTTTGAAATGTCTAGAACCTCTTGAAAATATTTAGCAAATGATTTCCTCGAAGAAGCTATGTTTTGTTATGTTCTTTCAAAGATGTTAACTTTATTGGAAATGTCGGAATAAGATTTAAAGTTCCAATTCGATAAAGGGGATGAGTCAGAGTGTTCATTCAACTGATGGTAGAAATTGGGATATACATTTAGTACAAGTTCATTTTTGTTGTACTTTATTTGCATTTTTGTACATATATTGTTTTCTATGTGCAGTCTGGAAACTAAAATAATCGGTCGTTATCTTTTTTGGAATTTCAGATATTTTGTTAGATGGAGAACCAGAGGTTGACACGATTACATCCTGGTCCGTTAGATCCCAGTGTCTTAACAAGACAAAAGAATCATAGGTCAGAAGATGTATGGGCGGGTGAGGTGGAAGCTGTTTTACAATGTCGACGATGCGATGGTAGTTTTTGGTCCGAGGTTCAAAGACGTCCTATTCATCCACGCATACTACAAATATTGATTAGTGCTGGATTTTATGGGGTCTATCGAGTAGGACATATACAACTAGATCATGCATTTATCACTGCTCTTGTTGAGAGATGGCGACCAGAGACCCATACTTTTCATTTTAAAGTTGGGGAAGCCACTGTTACACTACAGGATGTGTCTATTCTTTATGGGTTACCGGTAGAGGGAGAACCGGTAGTAGGCATTGATAGCTCAAAGACGCCAGAAGAGTGGCAGGATTTATGTGAGCAGTTGCTTGGTTTTAGACCACAGGATGACAAGTTGGATGGAACTAGGCTTGAAATTAGTGCACTGGAAAATCATGTGGAGGCATTTGGTGAGATCTATGATGATACTTATGAGGTAGTTATTCATCAACTCGCTAGGTGTTACATGATGTTGATGATTGGAGGTATTTTATTTCCTGACACATCAGGAAACAAAGTTAAGTTGATATATTTGGCGCATCTCGATGACATCGGTCAAATTGGCACGTATAGTTGGGGCAGTGCTGTGTTGGGGTGCTTGTATCGTGCTTTATGCCGTGCTTCCCATTCTAAGAAGAAAGAAATATGTGCTTTTCTACCACTTCTACAGGTATGCATTTTGTAATATTATTATATTATCATTGATATGTTGATTTTTATAAAAGTACTAGATAAGGAATGCCCGTGCTTTGCACGGGCCCAATATACATAGGATACTGGATAGTTATATGGCTTTTTTCTTTTCTTTGAATTCCTTGTATATCTAACTACTAATATGTTAATTTTTTGCGGGTAAAATTAGAGAAATGTGTTTATACATGACTTACATACGTATATGTTGATAATGTCTTCTTATTCTTCTAGAGTTTGTATAATCTTCTCTCCAATGATAACAACTCCTCTTTCAACTCCACAAAGGATGGAGGAAGCTCTTCTGAAACAACAAATCTTCCCACAATTGGTTTGATCACATTAAAAGTATGGTTAAAACACCATTAATTCAAGAGCTATCCAAATAGAAAGATACAAAAGGAATAATCATCAAGAGGCACATTTTGAACTCATCAATTCCTAATTGACTTGAATAAAATTGTCTAAGTGTTGATTAGGATAAAAAGTCAAGGATGAGTAGATCAAAGCAAAGAAAGATCATCCTTCTTTCTAGTCACAATGAGAACGATTTTGTCATATATGTAATGTGTAATTTAAGTAGTATCCAAAAGGAGTCATCACCAATTCCTATTTCTAGAAGTAAGCTAAGCCTTAAGGAGATGCGTCATTAGTCATATATGTTCTATTATTTCTACAAGGTCAAAATCAAATACAATTTTACCGCATCATCATTTTCACTCTTTTCTAATAAGATAAAAGTAATTTATTTATGATGCATGTACCAAGACAAAATTTCATGTCCTACTTCCACACCAAAGCTAAAGATTATGCAAACATGTATTGTTAACAAAGAAACAGGGGTTTATAGTGAAAGGGAATAGTCACTTCTAACTAATACTAATTAGTACAGGACAAAGCAGAGCATCATTAAGGTTTCACTGAAATTACTTCCAAGGGAAACTGCCGATTTTAATTGTTTGATGCATGGTCAACAACAATAACAAATAGTATGTCAACAACACTTCGCACAAGGAGTATCGTATGAGATTGTTGTCTAGATGGAGAGTTTTGAAAAGGATTTTAAAGGGTAAATTACAAGAACGACCTTCGTCGTCCAAAAGTACCACCACTTATATAGAATGATAATAATTGTATTCATTTTTTTGTATGTATACTTAGGTATGGGCATGGGAGAGACTGAAGATTGTTCATCCCAAGCGACATCAGGCTAGAGATGGTGCTATTATCTTCTCAGATGATCTCCCAAATCCCCCATATGCGAGTAGATGGAGTGTGCAACTTTGTTGGACGCATTCACCCAAATATGTGTTATCGTTGTTTCGAGATCAATTGGATAATCTTGTAGATGAACAAGTATGCCATGCAAACTCTATATGTTGTCGTATAACAAATGTTGCCAAGTATTTTTTTTACTGACAATTTGCTATCTTACAGTTTGTTTGGCAGCTCTATACTCCTGATGTGATAGAGAATCTTGCCGATTATTGTCGCTCAGGAGAACATTTTTGGCATGCTGTGGTGCCCCTACTATGTTGGGATGTAGTGGAGATGCATCAACCCAATAGAGTTCTTAGACAATTCGGAATGCGTCAAAACATTCCCGATGCCTGCAATTTTAACAACAAACATGAAAAGTCTGACCGTCGTGGCAGACAAAACACTAATTGGAGTACACATCATGCAAGTCACATACTTGTGTGGAATGATCGTGCAAACCATATTTGGGAAGCGCCATTAGCAGAAGGTCTTCTTCCATATGATGACGATTACCTTAAGTGGTTTCGTTTGATCACTCGACAAATAATTGGAAACCCAGATTTTCGTATTCCAACTGGGTATGCATCACTTGCACCAACATCTGAGATCATGGTACGTACTTTATATCAATATGCGTGTTTTTTTTTAGTTTTCTTGGTGTTGTTTTGCCCAATATTTTTTCTTGCTTTGCCGTATTTTTGCCATGTTTAACTGTTGTTTCCCTGTTTGTGCTGCATTTTGACCCATTTTTCATGCATTTTGGCCCAGTTTTTGTGCTATTTTGTTGCTGCTTTTCCCAAAACTCACTACTGTTTTTTGGTTGCTGCTTTGCCCAAAACTCACTACTGTTTTCTGGTTGCTGCTTTGTATAAAGACTGGGTATAAGTTGAAAGACGATAATGTATTAATGAAGACAGAAAGTTGCTTAAATAGAATTACAGTGGAAAGACTCCTAAACGAACTAAAGTAATAAAACCTAACTAGACAAGCTGAAACTTAATCCTAAATAAACAGGGATAGGGACTGCTCAAACTTAATACAACTAAATAACTAAACTGACTCGTGATTGCCATATAAAGACTGGGTATAAGTTGAAAGACGATAATGTATTACTGAAGACAAAAAGTTGTTAAATAGAATTACAGTGGAAAGACTCCTAAACGAACTGAAGTAATAAAACCTAACTAGACAATAACTGCTGAAACTTAATCCTAAATAAACAGGGATAGGGACTGCTCAAACTTAATACGACTAAATAACTAAACTGACTCGTGATGTTCCAATACTTTGCCCAAAACTCACTACTGATTTCTGGTTGCTGCTTTGCCCAGTTACTGGGCTGTTTTTTCCAGTTTCTGCAGCTGTTTCCCCTCTGTTTGAAAGCTGTTTTTTTATTCTTTCAGTTGTTGGGTTGTTTTTATGATATCTTGGATGCTTTTTAATAGCATATGTTTATTTTTAATCGAGTGTTGATCTTATTTATATGATTTGCAGGCGCGTCAACTCCATATGTTGTATCAGTATGGGATTAAACTGAGACAACAGCCAACAACAGAGGTCGCTGGAAGGAATGTCATGGAGATGTGCACTGATGGTTTAATAGCAGCAGACGAGGCTCAAAGGCTCACTGTCTTACCGTCCTATGTTCCAAAGCAGCCCGGTAATTCTAGCAATTCACGTAGACGTGGAAGGGCAGGGGGGCGCGGAAAACAAAGAGGTACGACAACAACAACTAATGTTGCAGAGAGTCCTTCGACGGAGGATGCGAATCCAGATGTGGTATCTCCGATGGAGGATGCGAATCCAGATGTGGTATCTCCGATGGAGGATGCAAATCCAAATGTGGAGCCCGATTGTGGTACAAGTACCGGAGTTATGGGTGGAAATTTGAATGATGAAGCACAGTTTGGTATGGGTTCATCACCGTGTGATGATGTTCCAGGATCACACTATTTCCATAATCAAATTGTGATTTACAATGCAAAAAGTTCTCCAATGGAGGATGCGAATCCAGATTTGGTCCCTCAGATGGAGGATGCAAATCTAGATGTGGTCCCTCCGATGGAGGATGCGGATCCAGAAGTGGTTTCTCCCATGGAAGATGTGAATCTAGATATGGATTACAGATCCAGTCAAATCGTGATTTACAATGCTCAACCATTGCGTCAGTTTGCTAATGATGATGTTGGGTATGCCTCTCCTCCTGAGCAAGTTGAATCTATGAATGATGACCTCGAAGAACAAGTTTTCTCTTTCCGAGGTTCGACAGTTTCCACCTCATTGCCATCAACTCCAATTCCTTCATTACCACAGATTCCTATTCCACAGATTCCTATTTCATGGCCTGAAGATGGAACACTAACCTTAGGTTGGGTTACAAACTTGATGTTAGCTTTCAATTGGGCGTCCTGGAATCTTCCTCCATCACATTTCCCATTAGTTTTACCAGTAGAGACGTTCGATCACCTTATACTGATGGCGTCGGAGCTCTTGCACAAAGAGCCAAATTGTGTGAAGATAGATGGTTTGGGTCCAAATTCGAAGGTTGTTGTGGTTGGAGAAGTGCATGGGCAACTTCATGATCTGTTATTCTTGTTGAGGGATGTGGGTTTTCCCTCCAAAGATCAGTACGTAGTGTTCAATGGGGACTATGTTGACAAAGGTGCTTGGGGTTTGGAAACCTTCTTTCTCTTGCTGGCTTGGAAGGTAGTAATTTAACTTTTACTTTCATAGTTACTTTTAATTAGACTAGTTTCTCGACATGTGCATTGCAAGTCTTAAATTACCTTACATATTGAAATCGAAAATACTGTGCATCACATTATAGAGCTATTAATAACAACAATTGGTAAATGCTGTATGTTTTGTATTTTTTGGCATTCAATATTTATAAATGTTTCTTTTAGGTTTTGATGCCAGGTAGGGTGTTTCTTCTTCGTGGAAATCATGAGTCCAAATATTGCACCGCAATATATGGTTTCCAAAAAGAGGTTACAACCAAATATGGAGATGAGGGGAAACATGTCTACGAGAGATGTTTAGGATGCTTTAAAGAGCTTCCTCTTGCCTCTATCATTGGCAATAGAGTGTATACTGCACACGGTGGTGTTTTCCGCAATATCTCAGCCATTCCATATAAAAGAGCCGAAGGGAAGAAGAGTCGCAAGATAGTTGCCGATCGTGATTCAAGCGACTTACGCCTTGGTTCTTTGAAGGAGCTACAAAAGGCTAGAAGATCTGTACTTGATCCTTCTCCGGATGGGACAAATGTGATACCGGGTGATGTCATGTGGTCAGACCCCCAAATGGAGAATGGACTGTCCCTGAATAAGGGAAGAGGAATTGGGCTTAAATGGGGTCCTGATTGTACTGAAGATTTTCTTCAGAAATTCAACTTAAAGGTATTATTTGTTTTAGTTGTTAGTTGTAACTCTTATCCACGAGGAAATTACTCACATTTTGGTGTTCAATTGTTGCTACCTCAGTTGATTATAAGGTCACATGAAGGTCCAGATGCTAGGGAAAAGAATCCCGAACTTGGAAAGATGGACAAAGGGTACAATATAGATCATGAAGTCACATCCGGGAAATTGATCACACTGTTTAGTGCTCCAGACTATCCACAGTTTCAGGTAACTTCAATTTTATCAATGTCTGCAATCAGAGTTCATACTTTGTTTCATATACTTGTACCAGAGTACGCTGTCCTCCTTTCTGTTATGGGAATCTCAAATGAGTTTACTTGCATCATGTCTTGTGCAAGGGTAATGCCTCTTTTAAAGTTATACCTGAGTGAATGATTTCCAGTTATTGGATGGTGTCCACCTTCATGCAAAAATGTCCGCTTTATATGTACAGAACAAGCTATGGGCCCAAACTACTTTCCTAACAAATGACAATTTTTTCTCTAAATTAAGAAACAATCTAATTAAAATCATACTGGTTTACTGCTTGTTTGATGGTGCTGGTTGTATGTTGCCAAACCATCTTGTTTTCACGTGTAGCTGACATATGTTTGTTTACTTTGTGTTGAAAATGGTTACTTGACCAGGTTCAATAAAAAACCTTTTGTGATTTGGTCATTAGCAGTAACTTCCTTGCCTATTTCTGGAAGTAGTTTGTGGACTTGTTGTGTAATATTCTACTTCTGCTTCTAATCTGTCTTTCTGTTTCTACGTTAACTGTAGGCAACAGAGAATAGGTACGGAAATGAAGGAGCTTACATTGTTTTGGAACCTCCTAATTTTGACAACCCTTCTTTCCATTGCTTCAAAGCAGTTTTGCCAAGACCAAAGGTTAGAATTTAGATAGATGGCTTCATTATTTTTTTTTTTTTTGTAAATTTCCTATGAAAATACTAGAATGTTCATGGTCGTTGAAACTGGTAATAACATTGAGTAATTTGTTGGACAGGTGGATGCGTACTATGATTATGTAAATGAAGCTGATTCTGATGAGGAGCTAGATTTGTCATCTATGGTGACATGAAAGGGGATTGTGATTGAAGTTGTTGTTTTCATCTAAGCTCAAAGGGGCTTCCACTTTTACATATGATATCTAGGGAGGCAGCGAATTAAACATTTGCTGGTTGAAGCATTGGACGAATTTGTTTGTTGGCTCCAGTTGATTGATATGGTTGACATTCCTTCATATAGTACATACATGTCTAAGTATATAGAATTTCGAACTATCTTATTTTCCTATAACACTAGTATTCTTCTGTAACACGTACGATACAAACTTATGTTGTAGTTGCAGCTGTTGAAAATGAAAAAAAAACTAACCAATTCTTTTCTATTGTGTTTTATTCTTCTTGAAAATCTGCCCTTTTATGTATAATAATAATTCGATGCACTGTTGCAAATTATGAGTCATAGTAAACTCTCTTTATATTTTCTGTGACAACAATATCACTCTATGTTTTACCTATCATCTCACTAAACTATTCATGCGATATCATGGAAGGAAACTTGGATGGTATCCATTCCCTTTAGCTTGAGTCTAATGGTGACAAACTAGAGGGTTGAGTTGAATTTACTATTGGATTACCTCATCCAAGTTGAGCAATCTGTTAAAATAGCACACGAATTCGATTTCAGTGGGCTTGTCATAATTGATAGGGTTGATTCCAAGGCAAATGCTCGTCTATACGCTGCAAACTTAAGTAGTAAAATGCAGCCTGCAGCTGCTGCCATATTACAGGAGTAGAAGGTATTAATGTTGAGAAACAGATACAAGGTAAAGCTTCAAGTTGTGCAACTCTGGTTACACAATCTATAGTGTCATTGAGATGGTAGATTTGGTTGTGCATCACATTTTCTTTTGTGGAATCCATCGACACAGGACATTGGGAAGATTGTAGCTTCATACGTTTAATTGTAATTAGCCTTTCTTATTATACAGGAAATTTTTCCAAAGCCAATAAATATATTTCAGGTTTTCATGTGATTGGGACTAATCGCAGGTAAATTATGGTTCTTTCAGTCGACTACTAGTTGTATGTGTTGGTCAGATGGCCGTAACTGCTGGTTTTGACCTCCTCTGGAAGCAGCTAGACCATGAGGTGATTACTAATTTACTTATACAAATGCTTATTGCTTACTACTTATCTGTTTCAGTTCTGTGATCACAATGGATAAACTCATGGGATTCACTATGTTTCATGTATATTTATCTGTATAAGCTTTTACCATAGTAACCCCCAGAACTCCTCAACTATGAAGAATGGGAGGAAATGTAGAGTTTGTATTTTCTTTCTTATTGTCCTCTCAAGTTTTTTTTTGGCAACTTAACAATTTTATTACCAAAGTGATAGTGACAGAGCCAGACAGAGCCGACCCCCTGTCTCTCAGAATTTGACGACTACATAATCATCCTCCTACCATCTAAATGGCAACAACTAGAAAGCAGAACTTAAAGGCAGTACAATGCAAAGAAACGAACCACTACAGCTAGCCAAAAAACTATGGAAATCAGCTTGCCGCTCCAAAGGATCTGCCGATCAGCACTGCAATATATAACATCACTAAGGCCATGTTTGCAGCTGGATTAGTACTGAGTGCCACTTCTTCACTCTCTGACCTCTGGTATGTACATGAATAGAAATCTCCTTGCTGAGTTTGTCCATATTATAGAGGCCAGACCGAAATCTGATCATGTTCCTCTCCCTCCAAATGATATATCGTAGCAAACACACAACAAAGGATGACACCCCTACTAGACTTCTTCTTGCCCCACTTTGACATCCATTGGGATTCAGTTTGCCAATCCCCCACTATTCTTTGGACACCTATCCAATTTAACATTCGCTGCCACAGGAGCTTAGTCACAAAGCATTCATAAAACAAATGTGACATTGTTTCATCTGCCAGGTTGCAAAACACACAGCTAGGAGGGACCTGTATTATATTCCAATTTTAAGCAATCTATCAGCAGTAGGCAACCTTTTCCAGTAGGCCAGCCATAATATGAATCTGAACCTGGGTTGACTACTTGGATTCAAAGCAAGGCTCTTCCAATGCACCCTAGGATGTTGCGGAGTCAGTGTTAGATACAACCTCTTGATAGAGAACCTATCCTTGTGAACCAAAGTAGATAATCTCTCGTTTAGGTTGCCCTGCAGTGCTAGAGCTTGCATTAGAACCTGCCTCAGACCAAAGATCTTTCGTATCACCCATGTTGCATTACTAGGGATGGGGCAATCTTCCAAGGAATTATTCTTCATATAGTAACTGTGAACCCATTTGATCCAGAGACGATCCTTGGTTGCAAAACATTCCTAATACTTGGCATCTGATGGTTCTTTTTTTACTGAATATGCACCCCTTACTGATTGTAAGATGGTGTACTGGAGATAACCTAGATTAGGGTCCTACAAGTGTAACTCGGATGGTGCAGTGAAAGGAGTTGGTGGCCCTAGTGCTGGGCCTTTTTGTATTAGAAATGATGAAGGAAATTTGATACATGATGAGTCTTTTTGTTTGGGAATAACTTCAGTTCTAATATTTGAGGCAGTGGCTTTGCGAAGAGGACTGGAGTATTGTATAATGCATCAATACTTACCAGTAATATTGGAGACTGACTCATTAATGCTCCAAAAGATTTTGAATGGAATTTGGGAGGTTCCTTGAAGCAGTCTGGTGGAGGTGAAAAGGATTAGTGGTGTGTCTCCAACAACATAACCAATCAGCGCATTCTTCCAGTATTCATACTGAGTCTTCAAGTCATTCTCAACTGTGGTCACCACCGGCTTCCCCTGCTTAGTGCTAGGAGGTACATAGGATAGAGTTTTACTGTATGAGCTCGTACGATTCTCTTGATAATCAGTTCTCTCAGTTGGCGTGACTTGGGCAGATGTCGCTGCCTCCGAGAACTGCAGCCGGTGAGCTGCCGGTGTACCATCACTGCTCTCATAGTCCTGCACATACTTTTTGATGCAACACTGGCTCTGGTTTTACAACCTCCACCTCCTCCGGGATTGACTGAAATCGGGGAGGGAGGAAGTTACCAAACGTTAGTGTAGTTTTATGTCAACTTTATATTGTAGGTCCCAGGTTGTATGTAAGAAAGGATCATTTTGTATTAGGAAATATTTTTGGAAAATACTCCGTAGTGTTATTCTAATGTCTGATTATGATTCTGGGTCATGCTTAAACCCTGTCTCAAATAATATCAGGGTAGAGGCTATGGATTCTTCACCTCTAGCTTCAAACAGACAGAAGCTGCGAGCACAGATCTTTCGGAGAAGATCGACAGATCATTTGCAAAAATTGTGGCAACTTTCATGTCTGGGTTGCCACTAAGCAAAGTCCAAAGCAAGATGGTTCCAGGTATGCCCTCCAGTGCCAGTATAAGCATGTTATAGGTTGTTAAATTATGTGCACTTTAAGCATTGATTCTTTTTTGGAATGCTACTGAAGGTATCAACTAGTTTGATCAGAAAGGAAAAAAAGCAATAACTTTTGAGTAGACTATCTTTCATGATGAATTTCTTCTTTAAATATTTTGTTTTCTCTTTAGTTGACCTCTATCTCTCATCCTTGTGTATATGTTACACTACTGACCTCCACTAATCTATTCAGGTAGATAATCATGTTGCATATGTTTGTGCTGATAGCAGGATCTATAACGCAATTGAATGGTATATCTGCCTGGTAAAGTTTTTCTTCTCACCATTTGATAAAAATTTCCGATGTTTCTGGGATATGGAATGGAATTGGTCTGGAAATTGAGAAGAACTTGTTTGTAGAACTATAAAGGTCAAAAATGCATCTCTGTAGTTATCATTGCATTCTTTTTGCTTTTCACATCATGGTAAGGTGTGGAGAACAAAAGTTTATTGTTGGTTGAGGTTCACTTATCTTAATTGACTTGGGCTCGTGAGATCAGTACCTCAATTATGTAGTCTATTTTTATGTCTTTAAGAATTGAGTAGGTATTTTCACATGGTACAGTAAGATTAATTTATATATTTTTGGATAAAACAACTGTATCAACAAATCTATCAGTCAAAGACTGTCACATCGGAATAACACGAATTGAATGTATACCTTAATAGCATTAAAACACAAAATGAACAAGGAACAAACACAAAACTTATAGCATTAAAATACAAAATGAACAAGGAACAAACACAAAACTTATAGCATTAAAACACAAAATGAACAAGGAACAAACACAAAACTTATAGTTCTCTAAGGATCAACAAAGATAACATTGCCCTGCTTGGAATATTAAGTTTTAACGAGAACATGAAAAACAAAGTGATTTCAAAATTGAAACGACTACCAAGTCTAAGATGGAAGGAATCTAAGAGAAGCATGAACTATCAGGAGCACCGCAGCCAAAACCTCCATATCCATGGCCAAATCCAGGTCTTCCACCAGAACCCCTGAAAGCAGGCTTGTAGTCAGCTAGAGCTCCACCCTTCTTACCTCCAAAATCACAGGGTGGACCTCTAGGTCCAGAACGATACCCATACCTATTGCTGTGGTCCACGGGGACGATAGCTTGAAGGGCCACCCATGGGATGATAAAGGGGTTTAGCAGATTTTTTCAGGGTAGCAGGGATAACATTAGAAGGAAGCTTAAGGTAAGTCCTGAGGAACTCAATGCCATCATTTGTAAGATGCCAGTGGTAGTTCATCCAAGGGAAAATCTCGCAAACATACTCTTTAGATTTGAAGCTCTGCATCAGCTTGATCATCTGTAGATTTCGCACATTGATTAACAGATGCTTAACCAAGTTGTAATCCTTTTTTCATAGCACACTCCCTCTTGGAAGAGGTATTACAGTTCTTTGAAATGATCATTGATACCAGAAGAAATTGCAGAGTGGTGAGAGAAATCACCAGTTAGATAAAAATTACTTTGGTGCTTCGTACTATTCTTGCAATAGAGTGAATGTTTATAAATGGCATGTGTGGAAGCAGTTTAGAGTGTAAATGCACTGGATAGTTTGGTCTTTGCTCATGAAATATTGGGTACTT